ATCTGCATTTTGAAAAAAAGCATAAATAAATAAACGTAATTCCGATTAGCATTAACAATTACCATAAAATTTAAAACAACACACGCGTTTAATTAAGCGAATAAAGCCATTCGCGATTAAAGCATGTTTTAATTAAATCTGCATTCGATAACTTACAATAACGTGCTTTATGCTTGATATGGCGAACGAAATCAATAATGATAACAATGATAACAACAATGATAATTATTGATCGCATCAGAGTGACAAGATGTTTCGAAAGGAGTTATCATTCCTTTTATGATATAACAACAAAAAGACTAATATAGTTAAATGCTGAAAATTATTCTAAATTAACATAATTAATATTAAAGTTTTGAATACGTGTACATATACATATATATAATATATATAATAATGTATCGAATGATTGATGTATGTATAAGTAAGCAGTTTAACTACGACTACATGACTACACGAGGATTACACGCAATGGCCAAATTGCATTATACTAATTTAATATAATATCAGCCAGGAATAAGCGACAGAGGATATTTTATAGGATTACCATTGAAGGTAAATTTATATTAAAATATTTTCTTATATGCTTTACACACCAATAAGCGACAAAAATATATAAGTGTCACTACATCACACGTGCATGACATTATGGTCAATATCTTATACTGTAGAACTGTAATTTAAAATTCCATTCTGCGTCATGCTATATACTTTAAGCATCGTTTAATTCTAGAATGTCATTGGCGACAATACTCCTAAAAGTTATAAATGTCGTAATAAATTCTATTTTTGCTGTTGCGTGTAATTCACATATACAAGAGTCGTTGAGTCAACCTTTATTATTAATCTACTTATGCTTCACATAGTTAGGACAAAAGGTAGCTGTAATTAGCGGAAGAATTAGCTAACACAAAAATGTCCGACGGAGCAAGAGAAAAGGAAGGGGAAAGGAGGAGGAAATATGCGTGTTAGATCAATGATTAATATAATTGTACACAATTGATAAATGAGGTTGCTTGCTTATTAAATCGTACGTTAGCCCGTTAATTTCACGTTAGCTCAGACCACAAAACTAAAGTATCCATTTGCATTTCAATGCGAATGAGCAAACTGCCTTTTATTTGATCAAGAATTTTTTTCGCGAATCAGCAATCTTTCTGCCCGTTGTGTTTGTCCGATAAGCATATGCACATATAACAGTACTTGGCAATCATTGGCAAGGTAAATATGATTATTATGTGATAGATTATTGTTAGCGATTTAATTGGTATTAATATGAATGTCGTTGATACATAAATGATTCTACAAAGAAGAATGCGTATGACAGCATAGTTTTGAAATAATAATACGTGCAGGCAAAATATATTGACAGCGGCGTGCGCGCATGGTAACATCATTTGCATGTGCAATCAAAACGCATAGAAAGGTCTTTTAAATTTTAATTAAATGGGCCGGGGGTGTTAAATTCGACATTTAGAGTAGTGGGATGAGGTTATTCTCGTTGCTTTATGATCGAATAAATTACAATATTCGCGTGATCGGCGATCTCCGTGCAACATTTTCAGCACGGTGTTATTCATTTCTGGATCAAAAATCAGCAAAAAGCGAGATGAAAAATATACATTTATATACATTTTAACAATACAAGGGCATGTTAATGAGCTCGATATATTTCCAATAGCATAATCGAAATCAAAATTTTTCATTAAGATTTATAATATTTACAATTTAGATACTAGTTATTTTTTCATTGATTTTGAAATTAATTCCTAGATAATATACATATGTCGATCAGGCTTCTGTTTTTAACGGTTCAGTTAAAATTAATTTTTCCTTTTTTTATTTAGTTTTGTTCTTTAGCTTTTTATATATATATCGAGAGACACAGGTGTTGAATGGACCACAATCGTTATTATAAATTATAATATCTATTGCAAATATCTATTGAAAGATGCATACATGTATACGATATAACAAGTTCATAAAATAAAACTCGCGCGTTTTTATTTATTCAATAAATATTTAAACGTGGTAATTTTTTACCATTTATTATTAATGCAAACTCCAAAACAAGTGTATTATGATTTTTATGGCCTTTGCAAAAGTAATAATATCAAAAGTGCTTGTTTTTAATAGAAATTACTTATAGAATTTATTAATTGTTAATACTTAAATTGCCAAAACAATTTTCACGATAATTATTTACATATTATACGTGTTATTATTTTTTCTATCAATCTCAACATTCTGACTGATATACTTTGAGAAAATATTATTTTTGTGATGGCAGCTTTTTATGAAGTATAAGTAAGCATGGCGTAGTATGTATATGTAAGTATATCGAGAGTAGTTCATGAGAAAGGAGCAATAATAAAATTATCTCGATTTAACAACTTGTTCAAAATTGAACTTTGGAACGTGTCAACTCTGTATCGTAAAATGCGTCTATATTTTTTGATTAGAAGATACGAAAAACAAGATAGAGAGAAATAAATTTGAAGTCTCGTGTTGCACATGGAACGCGTATGGTATTTTAAAAATGCTGTTAAGGACACTGGTGATAGAATGCGATACTTAGAAAAACGTTCGACTAACGGTCGTGCAGAATTAATGGTGATACATGTCGCGCCGATGTAACCAGCGAATGTTATTTCGATTGGAAGGAACCATTCGAAAGTCTCAGATTGGAAGAAGTTTACGGCAACTGTATGGCTGCTCTAGCGCGCAAAACTAACTGGAGAGTCTCGCCAAAGTCTCTCACTTCGAATCGGTTATCCCGAGTCGAGTCGATAGGATCGCAATTACACAACTTCCGACCCAGTTTACATTCCGCATAAAATCGTTTTGCACGCGCTTCCCCAAACGGGGATCCTTGATAATGGACAATAAATGACGGGCGAATCTCCGACAAATTTCTTCCGTCTCTTATATTATTTTCCTTTGAACTTTCCTGAGAAAGCAAACTTCGTCGTCGCGTTACTTCACATGACGCTTTTATATTTATCAAATATTTAAGTTCCGGCAAATGCGATTACTTCACCAATGTGCCAGACGTAATAAGATTTCGATCTAATGTCTCGACTTTCACAGTTGAAAACAATTGTCATTTTCCTTCAAGGCTACCTTTCGGTTTAAAATCATCTGGCTCAAGAAGACGTTTAATCGTTAAACGAGCTTCCATGCATAAACGGAACGGTGATCTCATTCTTCTGAAAATATACTCGGGTATGTTGACCTAATAAGATGTAAAGGCGGAAAAGTTCAAGGAGAGACGACCTCGTACCTCCGACGACCATCTACCTGGCGTGTATCGAGATTCGTCAAGCGGAAATTCTCCGGCGGAAGTCTCGTTTTGAGGAACGGCCGGCCGGAGTTGTCCGAACGATGATGCGCGCAGGCCGGCAACAAAAAAAAAAAAAAAGAAAAAGAGCGAAACTCGATCTTGCGAAAGGCTGCAGGAGATCCTCTCCGATCGGCTCGACAATCCAATTATCCGAGCGATTGGATTTTCCGCGCCGTCCATCAGGAGTAAATTATTTCGTACTACGGCGAGCAACGAAGACCCGTTGCATCCTGTGATGCGGCAACGAATGTTCCGACGTTGCGGCACGCAAGAATAAAACGTCGCTCGCGGCCGCATGCATTCTTTACGATTCGCAGAGATGCCACGGAAAATTCGCGCCGATACCGTCGAGGATTTATCAAACCGAGACGAGATCATCGAAAAGCTGCAGATAGATTTACATTCACGTCGCATCCGACCGTCGTTCCGCCTCCACCTCGTATCGGACCGACCGGCGCGAGCTTTCATCAATCTCACTGATTGTCCATTCAAATACAGTGATGAGTTATTTTTGTGCAGTACCGCGATCTCCGACTCGATGCGATTCTGGAAGTATAGTAAGTTGAACATTGTATTGATTAAGCATGGCCACGTGATCGTACGTATAAATGTAATTACGTACAGCCTCGTCTCGATTAAACCTCATGAATTTTTTGCACAATCTATATATCTACTGTTATGCGTAGTTTTTCTGTTGAAAAATTTAGCGAAAAGGATAGAAAGTATCGCGTGCCGTTTACCCTAGCGCGCAATTAACTGTATGTAATTACGTTATAAAAACTGGAAATCTATTATTTGCCGATGGGGTATAATAAAAGTTGTTGCAAAATAGTTATTATAAAATAATATCCATGGGATATCGCGAAAGTTATTAATATAAATTAGATTTAAGACGTTTAGGATGTTTTCGAGGAAGCGTGGCTAAAGGGAGAAAGCTCGATCTTGATACAAATTGTTAAAAGTTGATATACGAGTATCGCGTAAAAATCGTTGCGCTTTCGCAAAGTTTAAAGGTTCAATTTCTAACTTTCCGGCTTCTTTATTCTTCAGCTTACCTTATTTGATCCAAAGACATCATTCTCTTTGCAATGGAATATTAATTGTAAAATATAAATAATATAATACTATGTTATATTTAAAATAAAGAGTATAATAATAGGGCTAAAATTATATCATCGTGTCATTTTAACTATATATTTGTGCAATATTTTGTTTAAATTTTATGAAGTTGTGTTTATGGTGTATTTTGTTAACGTATAGAGAACGTATAGAGAATTATAAAAATCGTATTATATACGCTGTATATAAAACATGTTTCAAGATAAAAAAGTGGCATAGCTTTCTACACATCATGATGCAACTCTGATTATGATTTATAAAAGGAATAATGTCGTTGATATTAACTTTATCCAATCTTTTCTCGTGTATCTATCAATTAACAATAATCAATACATTTATTATATTTATTTAACAAATTAATATCCAGTGAATTATCTGCTTTAATTTGGACGTACCACGAGAAGAGTTATTGGAGTATTACTTTGGTAATTTGAAACATTTGGATGGTGACAGAAATATAAAGTTGTGTATAAAATGTATAAGGAAACCAGAGAACCAGAGAGACAGAGGAGGGAAAAGAAAGAGACATGCGACTCACCAATGCCTGGGCGGCGCTCTGGTGCTGCAAGCAAGAAACATTCAGTTACAATCACAATAACGACAATCAGTTAATGGTTCTTAGCTAGCTCGTGATAACACTAACAAACAAGTTCAACAGTAATGCGGTGCTTATGGAAGCTGGAACATCGACTGGTAAGACATATAATACCGAGAAAAATGTATGAAATCGTAGAAGCCAGTAATTACAAAATTACAATTACAATTTACAGACATATCGAAAATTTTAAATTAGGAAATTGCAATAGTGTTTCCGAGATAACTTGTAACTAGGCTGTTTCGATTACATATTTTTCTAGGTTCCTCTTTCATGAAACGGCTGCATTTGCAAGCTGCATACACAATGCGCAAATTTTTTCATGTGTATTTCATGTCATGTATATATCGCTTTTGATGCTTCAAACAATGTGGAACGGCAATGATAATAAATAGATTTTTTCCTCTAACGCTTTAAATTCGCTCGATATGCAATCGCCGATTTTGACATGACCGCAGTTCGATATAACCATTTTATACTTTTTCGATTAATATTTTTTAAAGCGAGTATGTCCGATCGGTTGATCTTTGTACCTAAGAAAAAAAAAAAAAAGAGAGAAACTTTGGTATTCGATCTTCAAAATTGATAAAGGGTCATTTCTTCAGGAACATGCATTATTCGTATATCCTATTTCTTGTTTATAGGAATAGCACTGAAGGCGCTAATCCTATAACGGTTAAATTGAAGCGTCGATAAAATTCAAAGCCGCAAGTATTATGGCTGCAATTGCAATACATAGCCTTTGATAAGCCGATTCTTTATCATCTATCTCGCACGACTTCGCTTTATTGCGCGTACTCGTAAAAGCGTTGTGTGTGTGTGTGTGTGTGTGTGTGTGTGTGTGTGTGTGTGTGTGTGTGTGGTGCGCGCGCGCGCGCGCGTGTGTGTGTATATATATATATATATACGTATGTGCTTAAAATTTACACGTTAAAAATATTTGTTCGCGCAAGCACTGTGATGCTGTCAGAGGCAGACCACTGTAATTTGTTTCGAGATTTGTTTTCCGCGTGAAAGAAAAAATCGAAAGTAGCGTTTATCGCGACGGTAGAGAGCGGGAAAGCGGCGTGACATGCGCATGATATACATAAAAAAAGCATACACTCTTAAAAATGCAAAGGCGACGCGAGCTTGATTTGAAACGCGCTTTTAGTTAAAGCCCGAGACGCAAAGCGATGTTGACCGACGTCAAATGATGCGAAAAACACCGGATTGACATTTAATTAAAGCACTTGCCTTGGAAGATGAATTTCACACGGGCGTGAACGCGTAATAGCCTCACGACAAGTTACTGTCACTTTGGAACAGTGAAAAAGAAGTTCGGAGCAGAGGTGGTAAACAGTGAGTGTCACATTATCAAAATAAAGTGATATTATTTGACGTTAAACGACGCAAAAGACATTAGATTACCGGCAAATTAACATTCAACATTGACATTTATTTAGACTGGTAATCTTGTTACACAAATGTGCTATTTTCATTGTCAAAAAATATGCAAATGAAACATTAATTTTTAACCCGCAGTCTCACAATTAAATTGCATTATAATAAAATAATTATTTCCGACATATATAACTTCCATCCTTTTCATTAAGTACTTTTTCAAATTATATCATTAATTACTTTTGCAAATTAGCATTAATGTGATATTAACGACGCTAATAATAGGCTTTAGATAATGAGCTAATAATAATAATAGGCAATAAGATAAATCAATTTTTGTAATTTCAATACTTGACTGTCGAGAATGTTTGGGAGATATATTTCGAGAACTATGGCGCATATTACTGCTCATGGAAAATAACTTTCGAGTTGTCGGAACGCAAGCATACAATAATGATGATATTAATCTTACCGAAACTTAGTCAATATTCATAAAGATGACAAGACTGCAAACACTTGGTAATTAACGAGATACCTATGAGAATAGAACGATAAGCGGTTCGCTGTCTTTTGTGAGAAGTCAAACTGCATTAAATTTCGCCCTCCCTGGTATTATAATGGCGTTCATTCACCAGCGGACTTTCTACCGTTTGCCAACGACAAGATTGAACGATCTAATATATTTAATTAGGAAGCGCCAATGTTGCGGCGATACCGATTGTTACGGTAATGCGCGGAACGAGATTTGTTTACGGGAATGTAATCTAAAACAACTAATCGAGCGTAAACAAAGTAGTTTAACACAATTTAATGCAAGAACATTTAAGTTTAACATTGCGGTATTTCGTAGCGATGAGTTGCAGCGAGTTACGGCATAACGTGTCGCTAAGAACTGCGCATAAGGAAAACGGGTAACGGGTTTGAACAAGTATAATAAAGAACTGTAGCAAAGAGATAAAGTATCGAAAATGAGAAAGATTGATATTTGCATATCCTTCCGTGGGACAGGCCTATTCTTAGGTAAATAATTGTTCGGTCTCTCCACTGTCGCCATCGGCAAACGGAAAGAAATATTATTATGCGCAATACGCGAATGTTTCGAAAGGATAATTCTATCTGATTAATTCGCGGCATTTCTTAAACGTCCCGATCGCGAGGATAATCTCGAGTAAAATGAATGACCGGATTGAATTCCCTTCGTGAGATCGATATGGTCGTCGGAGTGAAAAATGCGGAGAACAGATAACGATAGACTAGGAAGAACCAATAAAATTTCTCAACCGCGTTCCTCAATCGAAATTTTCTTCTCTCGAAATTATAAGGAAAACGGGCGATTAATTGGGATTCATAAATTATACATTATGGTTTGTTCTCAGGTAGGCCGTGCAAAGAGCTTTTAGAGATCCCTTATACAATGGTAAAGAGAGATCTTTATTTGTTCACAAATTGATTATTAAAGATGCTTAAAAGGAATTAAAAAGTACAATCAGAATTTATATAATGTTACCGGTATAATTAAAAAATAATTAGTACAATTTATAATTAATGCAAATAGAAAATTGTTATATTTTTGACTTTTTCGAATTTTCAGAGTCTTTTAATGTCAGAAATACCGGTGTGGTGCATCTTCTATTTGCATAGCTCTGGTTTTAAGTGCAGTAAAACTTCAGCAAACATTTCCCGATTTAATACATTCCACTGAGTGACTAAATAAAATCCTTTCGACGAAAGGATGGATAAAACATGTTTGAATCTTCTTTATAGTTAAATAGATGCGACATTCATAAAGGATGCATGCTAAGATTAACGTGCCATCTTTAAGCTTGTTTAAGGTTGTGAGCCAAGTACGGAGAAGTATGTTGTAGCACCTCCACAGTCAACTCAAAATATATGAATAAAAGGAAAATTCGTGAAAGAAGCGACAGGCGAACACACTCTACGCGTTACATTTAGAAGAATAATTTTACTACATATTCTATATAAATGTGTAAATTATTTACTTGACTTTTCCAAGTTGAATCATTTTGAAAAAATTAAAATAGTAACAAATACAACGAGTGCCGTCTAATACTGACGATATTGGAAGAGTTAAGACAAATGCAGGGTTTTTTTCCATACGTGAACACTTGAGGGTGTTACGATCACGACGCAAGCGTGACTGGTGCGCGAGAAAATCTACACTGTAAGTTCTTAACGAGGTTAGTCTTGTTAAAATTTTGATTCTCATTAAGAGACCATTACGGTTAAGCGCATTGCGCAAAATTACTCTTTGATAAAAAGTAAAAGAAGGTGCGAGTGATATTGACCCACATCACGCCTCACGGAAGCCGCCGTATATGTGTCACTTCGGAAGTAGAATCATCACTTTGCGGCTGGTGGAATTGCATTCCAGCGAGCCTAGTTGTGGCAATTACCGATGGTCCACTACCGTACAATTTAATATGCTTCACAATCTAATAATTTTCATGTCCATTATCGTCGTTTTATCTTTTCCGAGACTCTCCAACCTTTTTGCAGATACACACGAGGAATATCCCTCGATGGCGATTTAATTCTCGATTGTGGCACGAATATTTTCTCTTCCCTTTTTTTCTTCTTTACGAGACAAAGGAGCAGATTATGACGGAAGATTTACGACGGCAATTATGATCGCGAGCACATCGATCAGGTCGACCTATATCTATACCGAGCTTACTTGAGGAATAACATTTTGAAAGCGGTTTACTCTGAACGTATACGTATACTTCTAAAAAAGAGAGTACTTGCGCTTGCAAGATTCTTAAAATCAAGACGATCATATACATTTTAATCAATTTAATTAAACTTGCCGAAATTTTTATTCTACCGTATAAAATTTTGATACTTTCATGAATATTAATTTTAAAAACATTTAATTTAAAATATATACTAATGAAGTTTAATCCGTCGCGCGCGCGCGCGCGCGCGTGTGTGTGTGTGTGTGTGTGTGTGTGGTATCTAATATAATGTACAAATTTACAAGTGGCATGTTTGCCGGCCGGCGAGAGATCTTACACATGCCATCGAGAGATCTTCAGCGGAATTAACCTAACTTCGGCTTTAAAGTTCAACGAGAAATGTCGGAATCGTAAGATAAGCGATCAAGTACGTTTAAATATTGAGAAGGAAAAAGAAGGAAGACCTCTTCGATCTCTCGCATCCGACACGGTACGCGAGGTACATAAGTCCTTCCGATTGGACCGAGAACTTGTGACTTTTCTAATAATCGCCTCCATTATTTCGCTATGGCCACGTTCCACTTAGCGCGACACTTACTCCAGCGCGATTACAGCTGACCCAACGGACGCCGAGTCTGCGGATTATTGTTCAATTTGCTCGGCGCCATCGTGCGACGAGGCCGCGCCCTCGATTTCCATATTTCCACCGTGAAAACTCCCGCCGCGTCGCGCTCTTCCTCCGCGTTAAAAATCATCGAAGCGGGATAGGAAAATCGCGATTTTCAAAATTTTCAGCAATTCTGCCTGGGAGACCGCCTCTATCGTTGTTAATAAGAGGTAACTCATGAATATCTGTGCAGTAATTTAAGCGAATTACAAACTGTCTAG